TATATATATTTGAGAATTAGAGCGACTGCAAAAATAAACATTTTGTCTAATATCTATAGTTTTCTTTTTTTTTATCTCAAGAAACTATATTAATAACTAAATAATCTTATTATAAGTAAATTAGTGCAATTTGTTTTTGAGACCTTTTTAGTTTTATTAAAATTAAAAAGTTTACAACATTCATTTTAAAGACAAAGTTAGCAGTATACTTAAATTCGATATACATATATTCCATATTTATTACTGTTACTGAACTTCTAATTTGGTTGTGTAGCAACAGCGAGTTTAGTAAATCATAATAACAATATAATATGTATGCCTCATGTGTATATGTAATCGTACAATAATAGATTGATCATTAATTATTAATAATGTTTTTGTTTACTGCACGCGCAAGACTATTTACATTTGCATGTATGTTTATCATGTTTACACGCGCGCGCGCATCTTTATGTAGAATTATTAATTTATAATAATGTAACGGTATGATGTTATTTACACTGATATTACTAAAATACCAATATCTTAGGCCTACTCTTATTTCCTTTATTGGGCTAGTGTCATGGCTTTACTCTTCATTGACAATAAATTTATAACATATTTCGATACCAAAAATTTCAAATGTTAAAGCTAATTTTTGATCCATACTAATATATTGAATATATGCGTATAGTTATACACTTATATATATATATAGAATTACATAAATATTAAAAATAATTAACAAACCAGATGCACAAAAAATTTAAACCTTAATTGGATTTCTTTACATAGAGTATACTAAATTTTGTTACATTTATAAAAAAGAGAAATCTTAAATGTTATTCGGAAGGCAATTAATGAATTATAAAAAGTTTTTAAGATTGAAAATAATTAATAAAATTAGTTATTAATTTTATTGCTCTAATATTTTGTGACACGGTCGTTGAATGTTTTATAATTACGTCGAACATCGATAAGAAATAACTTTGTTTATACAGAGTGATATAGAATGTATCATTTGTATTCCTATGTGATAAATTCTTCTTCGTTGCATTTAGATATCAAATGCAGCCTTACATTGAATTTTTTTTCTGATTACTGTACATATAATGAGTTGTTTATTGTGTCACATATAAAAGATCATTTTTATGATTGTGCTGCAAGCATTTTAAATACTTGCAAAACATAGTTAATCTTTGGTCCTTAATATTATTTTTATGCAATTTGTATTACAACATATGTTTATGTATTTTTATAAGTAGGTCATTCGATTGAAAACAATGTGCTTTTATAATAATTTAAATTAGAGCTATATACAGAGTTATAAAAGTTAAAAGTAAAATTGAAATTAATGATACTTAAATTTTAGAATCAAATAAAAGAATAGAACAAAAATTAACATTAAAAACTAAGGAATCGTTGTATGTTATTCATTTTCGACTCTGTATAAGACTCTTAGAATGTAAGATATATAAATTATATTGTAAAATACATATCACATAAAATTTACAATTCATTATTATTAACGGCAACTATTATCTCTACCTTCGCTTGATTTAATTCCATTAAACATTAATTTATGCATTTTTTTTATTTCTTTTTATTTTACAGACATATCTATAATGTGTAAAATAGCAATTTAATGGCACTGGTTTTCTATTATTTATTTATTTTTATTTCTTTTTCCTTTTATTATCTTTTATTATAGGAATATTGTGTTCATTCGAGAGACCAACATTAAATACATCCAAGAGAGCCTTTGCAACCTATACATTAATGATATATAAAATATTCGCTAAAAAGATATAAGATATATTACATTTAGTTTATGACTGGATGATATGAAATATTTATAATGGTAACCCAGCGAATTGTATTGCACATAATTCTTATTAGGCAGTAATTATTAATAATTAATTAATTAAACTTATAACCACGCTTTCCATTGTTATTTTGAGATATATAATTAATGACCAATATATCTAATAACTTTTTCTTCTCGATAAATTATTTAAAAGTTATTTTATATATACTATAATATATTAAGTAATTCTACCAGACTGCACTCATTATTTTGGACGTTATTTGATCGTTTTTTCAGAAATACTCTACATACTAAATCAAGATATTTTCTTTTTTTTTTATTGTAATTATATATAATTAAATATTTACTATTCAATACCATGATAATTATCAGATGTATGACCACTGATGCTAGTTTCTTTCATAAAAATCTTATCGCTTAAACTATTTAAAAATTTTTTTTTTTTTTAATAAACCTGATATACCATTTCCTTTACAATGCAAATAATCCAATTACAAAATATATATCTTTTGGCATATTTACAAAAGTAATTTATAATCTATATATGATTTATTTTAAAAAGCTCTACTACCAATAAAATTATCATTATCATTATGCCTAAAATTGATAAAATGTTATATATATATATATAATTTGTTAATACAATTGATCACACACACTAGTAATGATTCTAAAAAGAGATAAAACATAATGATTTGAGATCTTTTTTTTGTTCACAGGACCAAGGGTTATATTATATTAATATGATATAATATCAAATGTTTTTGTTTTAACACACGCAGCCGTGTGTGTATGTGTGTGTTATATACTGTAATAATTAAAAGTAATTCTTAAATAATTATAATAGCTCAGAAGCATACATACTTAATAACTAGATGTCACAACCCTAAGCCAGAAGTAAATTGTTCGAAATATAAAAATCAGCTTGTGTATATTAAACGGAGTAAATTTGCTGCCATCATAAGTATCACTCACTCGTATGTATACTCTTCCTTATAAACGCATTTAAACCGAGAGATGATTTATTTTTAAACTTCTATATCTAATTGAGTCAGTAATTACTTGCAGTCATATCCTAGAATTTATTGTATTACGTATTTGATACATAATACAATAATTTATGTAATTCATAGATTAGATATGTTAACGTTTTCGAAATCTCAAAGATAATTTTTCTTTTTTAATAGAATAACAATAATATTAGATAAGATTGAGACTAATAAAAATAGGATGAGACCTTAATTCGATCTATGATTTTTTGTTTAGTGTTGAAACTACATTTTAAAAACGCACATATATAAAGATATATAGAGATTTTATCACAATTAAAGAGAAATTCTATCCCTAATATTTTTTGTACAAATCCCTTGAATCCTGTTGAACACGCACAAAAAATTTAAATCCTATATGCGTATCTATTATTAAAGTTTTATTTCAACAAATGTAGATGCAATCCCATTCATGAATTAATATTCGTTTAACATATAGGAAAAAATCAGTACTTTTTAATAACTGCATCTCAGTGTTATATAAGCAAAGTTATATTAACCATATATATATATGGAAGAGCTTTCACAGAGTGTTTGCAAATGTTTTAAGAATATATAAAGATTTCTTTCTTTATTTTTTGTTCTTCCCCCACATTATAATTATCTCGATATCTATTTTTACACGAAACCATTGAAAAGTACCAAGGATAATACCAAGGTTCTTGGAGCTCTCTTTGGTCTTGTCCAAGTAAAATTCTACGACACTTTTGGTAAAACTCACGCAATAAATGCGCCTGATAACTACATGTATATAAAGCATTCTGTTCCAACGCGCATTTCCCTGAGACACTCAGATCCAGTGCAACAGCTCTATGCGTATCATTAATGATTAATGTTTCTTAATATACTCACACACTATTCATTATCCGTAGTATCTTCAATAACGGAGTCCCAATTAAATTCTGTGGCACTTTGTCTTGAGGGTAATTCTCCAAGGTGCTGAAATCGTTGCACAAAATAAGGATCACGATCTTTGAGTTTTCTAAACCTTTGAAACGCAAGTTTCTTTGCGAATTCATATAGTTCCAGATCCAATTTGTTAAGTTTACGCACTGCATCTAACTGTTCAGGTTTAAGAGTGGCCATAGTAGCTGCACTAAGTGTGGCATTATGCTGTTCAAAGGCAACAGCAAATCTCATTCCAAACGTTTCTTCAAATGAATATTGGCCCACCTGTTGTTATAATAAATATTATTAATAATGACTTATAAATCTTAAATCTTATTTACATAAAGATTACTTATATAATATAATTAATAAATTTCTTTTTATTTTAAATTTAAAATTATAGCGTATGAACATGAAAAGTTAATATTCGATATATAATTCTGAAAGCAAAAAGAGAAAAAAAAATGTAAAAGCAACAAGCCCAAAAGAATACACTTATGGCTAACAGATGTTAAAGGTAAACAGAGAAATATAAATATTTACTTTAGACCTAGCTGAACTTTAAGCACATGGATGCAACTATACAATGATGACAGAAATATATACCAGGAGAAATATATATACAAGATACTTAGACATTAACGAATACTACATGCACAAATTAAAACATTAGCATGAATAATGAAACAATAAAACAATTTATGTTCTATACTACAGGACTGGTACAATGAATGGATGAAAAATTGACAGAAGATTCAAAAAATTTAAATAGAAGAATATAAAACTTGTAAAGTATTGTTATTTAAATTGTCTCATAGAAGTGTTAAGGTATGATTGTAAACAATAATTTAGATAAATTACTAATGTCATTAATATCATGCTTTCATGCAAATTTGATATTTGAACTTTTAAATTCTTACTTTTTGGAACTCAGTCAACATGAAGAAAGGCATAAATTGTAAATTATGTTTGGCACTAGCCAACATAAGACGATCCCTGTCCAAGCTGCTAAGCGTAGAGTTGTAACAACCAACTATTGACAAATCGGCCAGCATTCTTGTTTGGCGATTGCTTGCCAAATTGTATGGGCACGCCATAAACTGCACAAACGATAATTTCAATTGATCAAATAACCAACATAATTTTATCATTTATTGCATATCATCGTATAGAATAAAATAAAGCAATATTACAGCTTTGTGTACATTTTCTATTTGTTTTATTATCAAGCGCAAACTATCCCGCAAGTAATGATTCATTGTGGTATTTAATTATTCAGAAGACCTTGAATTAATGAGTGTAACAGGTTGCTTGATAAAAATTGTATCTATGCAAAATATTGAGATAAAAAAAAACTACAGATAAGAAGTACAACTGTGTTTTTAAACAGTATATTTCTAAAACATTTAAAGTCTTTTTTTTCTAAATATATAAGTTGATTTTTTTCTTGCTAACAAACAATTTAATAATACGAGCAGACAACTAAACTGTACCTGTAGCTTTATGTTTTTTCTTTTATATATATATACTACATAATATATTAATATCACCTGTTCTAAACTAACTCCTTGCCAACTAAGTCCATTATAACACTGCGGTATATTAGCTTGAATTCCACCACACCAATGACGTGCACCTCTCCATGTCGCACCTCTTTGCACATGTCGAAATTCGGACAAATAACGTGCAACAGGATCCCTTATGATAGTTATGTAAAAATATCTACGCTTTATTCCTTCCCCTTCAATTTTGTTCAACTCTGAATCAACACAACTAGTTAATTCAGTCCAGTCAGCATGTAAGCCACATTTCCAACCAGTAGAGTATCGAGAAAAAAGCCAATTTTCACTGCGGTTTGGACGGAAACAAAGGCAGCGCTTACGTCTTCTCTGACAAGAACATGGTCTCTGCAGATCCAGATCTCTTACTAAATGTTTACCAAACAATGTTCCTCCTTTAACAGAAAGCCATTAGCAATACAAATTAGCTATGAAATATAGAAATGTTTTATTGTTTTTGTTTTGTTTCATAATAACATAAATAAATACTCAATTTTAATAGAAATAATACATATATTTCATTCTTATATTCTTTTTTTTTGAAATAGAAAGAACAAGGGAAGGGAAGACTATAGATAATCAAGGAAAGACATAAGCCTACAGCATACTAAACAACTCAACATCTTAGAATTATTTTCTTTCTTTCTAAGATAGGCCCTGCTGGTTTGAGGATGCCTAATGAATAATGCATAAGTTTTAACTACACAATGGTCAGAAGGGAAGTTTCCATGCTTTTATTATGCCTTATATTGCTTTGGCTTATAGCCAAATAAATCTATGGTTAAGCTCTCAAATTTGATCTTAAATATAGATTCGATATCAATGGAATACTAGAAAGAATGTATCTCTCTACGTAATATTGATAAAATTAACACCGGATCAAATAAATGTATTGCATAAGGAAGTAACATATGAATGAGATGACAATAACAAGGAAGCATTAAGAATAGCAACAATTAGATCACCTGTCTTTTGAATATGCAGGAACACCATGACATCATGCGCATTGATGTCAAATTGAAATGTATCGTTGGCAAATATATCATCATAACCAAGGCTTCCCTGTATGCTTTGTAACTTAAACGCAGGATGTAAAGAAAAAAGACCATTCTTGTCGAGCTCTATAGAGACAGAAGATGACAAGGCAGCTGCAGGTGCACCAAATGATAGACTCCCCTCTGGAATTCTTCCAGACTCTTTGACGTCTTGTCGATTGGTCAGGGCACACACATGATCCGGACAAAAGTAACCGAGATATACGATCCCGGTTAATGCAAGAAATAGACATAGACCAACGAAGATCCGTAATCGAATACGTCGTGTCCGTGACTCCATCGTCCCGGACTTATCGAATAAATCATCCGGTACGAGGATCGTCAGATCACTAACGCCTTCTGCGCTTAACCGTCTGCCCATTATTTCGGACCATCTTTTTTCACCCGAACGTAAGCAGCAGGACGTTCCGCGCGCCGACACGGACCGACCAAAACTACATACACGCACCGAGTATCGGCCATGACAGATGGATCCGATCTTACATCCCCCCACCATCTCCTCACCACCACTACTACCTACTACTACTACCCGCGCTCTTTTCTTTTTTTCTTGTTTTATTTACTTCCTTGACCATTCGCTTATGCTCTCCCTTTTTTCTACATATGCACGTTTCGAAGCGTATATATTTATACATGAAATCTCTTTGCTACGTTTTTTTCTTTTTCTACATCATCCACGCTACTTATCCTTTTCATTCTTCTTCTTCTTCTTCTTCTTCGTTACTTATCTCGATACACGATCTGCTGTCTCTGCTTCATCATTCAACAACGTAATTCATAACGGAACCTTTATAAACGTCTCTCTTTCCCTTTTATCCCTTTTTCAAAATTATTTTTTCATCTTGTATTTTCATTCTGTTTTCGTCTGTTCAAATTTTAAATTTAAAAAATGACCAACTTCCGATTGGTTAAAAAAGTTTCATTTTCCTGCCTCTAAATTTAGCGATCGTATATACCTTTTTTATGATGTAAATATATATTTAAATATATATATATATGTATGTGATGTCGCGTTTGATCGTTCCTCCGTTTGTATATTGTCTGTCGTAATAAATAAAGTACTTTATGAACTTTAAACGATACAATTGATATAATAAAACGTGGAGAATTTTAAACGAGAGAGATTGTTCTGTAAAGATATGTTTAACATTTAATTAACAATTTAATTCATTATTTGATTATTGTATTAATTTAATAATAAAACGGCGCGAATTTTAAACTTAAAGATTATTCTCTTAAAAAAACATCGAACGATATTTAATTAGTGATTATAATCGATTCGTTATTTATTACAATTAACGATTAATGATTATATTGTTTAATTATTATTCACGATATGTATGACAAGAGGCGTGCTTACGAAATAATTATTTATTTACAAATATGTTAATTAATGTTTAAAATATCTATTAAATAATTCATTATGTTGGCTAACCATTTAATTAATCAATCGTATGCACAAGTAACTATAATTAATTTAATCATTAATTGAATGAAATATTATCAAGATGTTAACGTAAACTATATAAGTAAGTATATAAGTATATTGTATTATTTATTTTTTTATCACATAGTTAATGTATTTGAAATCGAAAAGTACGAAAGAAGATATTTATTCTTTATTTTTCTTTTTCTGTCTGTTTTTATAAACTCTGCCTTTTTACTTTATCTTTATACAGCCAAGGTATTTAAATCGATAATCAATTAATTGTAAAAAAATCCTATTACGAAGGATCGTAGCTAATGTCGTAGTTTTATAATTACGTAAGTCCTTTGAAAAATGTGCTCTTATAGTTTTATCTTGAAATAGCATACGCACATTAACGAGTAAATATATATACATAAATATATACATAACCTATTTGTGTATGTATTTTATACATAAATAAGTCTTCCCTTTACTGATCTTTTCTTAGGATCTGGCCTCATTAAATATCGCTTATCGGAATCTGGTTTGAAATATAAACGATAGCTTTATTGATAATTTAAAATTAGTCTACTGTCAATTGAATACGAATTTGTGTTTATTATTTAATATCTTGTTTCAAGAATAATTTTTTCATAGATAAAAATAACGATGTACTTTTATAAATAACATGCAAAATAAATGAAAACGATATTAATGAAATGTTGGAATATTTTGTGATTTGTTTAAACGATTGGATAATACAAGATGGAATGTATCTTTTGTAGGTTATTATTAGTGAATTCATGTCATCTTTATGACTAGTGATTTAACTACATGCACCCATGACTACTGCCTTATTAAGACTGACAGTACGAAGTTATAGGCTATGTTCACTCTACACTGCACGCATGCGCAAATGTATATGGGCAATAAAGGAGTTTTGTTCATTATTAGGTTATGTCGAAATTTCGTATGCATTTTGCATTGTTGAGAAACTATTTTTCGACATTAAGTGGCACATCGATCGAATTCTACAAGACTATATTTATATAAATTTAAGGTTGTTCATAACCTTCCTTATGTATTGTTTAAACAATTGTGCTATTGTTTAATTATTAGGTAATTATACCCCATGTATAAACATTATACATTATTGTGTCTTTGATATCAAATTATCTTATTTTATGTGCATTTGAACATTCGTTTTGGTTAACATTAGAGATATGCAATTATTTCGAGATCGAGATTTTATCGAAATATTGAATGAAAATTATATTTTATGATTAACATATGTTTCGTGATATATGTAAAACAACCTAGAATTTGTTTAATATTAGGTAATTATATTATATTTTTATCATAAATTATTTAAATAAATGTAAAATAGTTGAAAATATATATTCGTTCGATTTAAATGTGCTATTCTTTTCTTTACGGAAAAACAATCGAAAGTATAGATAGAATGATTTAAATTTACCACTCTTTTCTTGGCAAAAATCGCCATCACTTTTTCGGACGTTGTTCGTTAAAAATGTTAATATAAGATTTTAAGTTTAGCGTAAGAATCCGTTTGCGTATTGGTGTTTGTACGTAGTATAGTTTATTTGTAGTATTGTTAAGTTAATTATTTCATGATAATTACATCGTAGGTCTTTTCAATAAGTGGTGCAGTTATTTCTAGAGAAGTTAACCTCAATCATATACAAGGTCAGTAATTTCTTGAATACTTTTTTATATTTACATTAATCAATATTTTATATCTATCTATATATATAATATATTTATATAATTATTTTCATCAAAATAAGTTGAATTTGTTTAAGGAAATTGTACAAGTTGATTATTTTATTTTTAGCATGACATCTATCAAGTTGTTGGAAGATAGGGTAGTCGAATTGGAAAAGCAAGTTTATGGATTTGGGAAGGTGTTGCAGCTGGATGATTCATTACCAGAAACATCTATTACCGATAATCTATTACATGCGAATACGTTGATTTCTTCGGCATTATCAGGCAGGGAAAAGATAGCGGAAGCTATTAAACGATTACCAGAATTGAATAAACATTTAGATATATCTTCGGATGAATTAGATATGCCCGTAGAAATTAAATCGCATTTATTATTACTATCGGAACAAGAAATCACGGATAATCATAAGTATTTAAGTGAAATACAAGAGTTGATGCCAGTTTTAGAAACGGATTCTTTAAAAGACCTTCCAGAATTATCTGTTAAACTTAACGAATTATCTTTGAAACAGTTGAAGATACACGATGAAGCAGAAGCATTTGCCAAGGATATGCATGCCATATTCAGTATTTATAATGATGTAATAGATAGTATATCTAAAACATTGATTAGCTTGGATAAAGAAATAACGCGTGCTGAACTGAATGAAAGTAGAAAGTAAATAAGTGACGGTATACTATTAATTTATTCTGCAATTTTCAGAAAATTATTTTCTCCTAAGTATACACTACACCGGCAGTTGTAAAGGTATAAAGTTTAGAATTAATTTGATATGTATATATATATATATATATTTTTATTTATTATCCATGGCTTAAAATATAAAAATACTTACGAATTTATTTATGCCTACGCATAAATGAAACTTTTTCATTATAGTATTTATCATAGAACATAAATGAAATTGTACATTATTAATTAATATTTCATTATTAGTGTATCAATAACAATGTATTTTATTACAATAATCATATATACATTTACTCTATCTATCGTTTAATCTTATCCATCATTCGTTTCAGGAATACTTCACAAGAATTATTGAGACAAATCATTGATCGAATATAAATCGATCATTTTATGTTATAACCGTTGGTCTCTTCCGTTAAATGTTTATTTTATTTTTCGATTTCTAGTAATTGTAAGATTCTTCGTACAATCTAGAAAGATTTAACAAACAATACTTTCGTATGCATAATCATACTTATTGCATTTACTTTGGTCCAAACATAATATAACTTTTATATATTTTTCGAGTATAACTTGCAGCTTGTGTTCGTAAGAGTATAATACTTAAAGAGACCTAATTTGCTAACTTGCAAAAAATCTATTACCGCGTTAACCATATTAAACAATTACTTTATACAGTATTTACATATTGTTTTCCTTAATGTTAAACAAAGTATGATTTTGTGATCTACATGTCTTCTGCTCGTGTATATATATATATATATATATATATATAGTATGTATTTATATAATCACCAATGTAAATTTTTAGTGTAGATGTTGCATGTGCACGCTTTTCATTGTAAAAGAAATGATTTCATGGCCATTCAATACTAGGAGCATACTTTGTAGTATAAATAGGAACATGATTTATAAAAGAAGTACAACAAATAAATTCCAATGGTAAAAAAAGAAGAAAAAACATTTGTATGCCGTGAATATTTAAGGAGTAAGTACTTTTGTAAGTGTTTGCTAAGCAAATACTCGCTGAAATCAGAGTAATTGTTTTTTTTTCTTTCAACATTGATCAATGTATGATCAAGATCACGATGAACTTTGAATTACTCGTATACTTTCAAAGTGTCCGTATCTTACAAGTTGTTTAAATTTATGTTTGCAAAGCTGGAACTAAGTGTCGTAACCAATCTAAAGCAGGCTCCAAACTAGAATAAATTGCAGGATGTCCTCTTGAACATTTGCTATGGTGACTGAGTAAACCTTGAATATTCCAATTTCCTGATTCATTGGCACAAATTAGGGGTGCTCCTTTGTCATTCTAAAAGTAAGATATTGACACACATTAATTCCCAAATCATCTTTTAACTTTTTTCTCTTCATACTTTTTATAATTTGTTTCTTAATTCAAACATTACTTACATAACAAAGCTCTTTATCCATATTAGACAAACCAACGCATATATTATATTTCGTTATAAATCCTGCGTAATGGCTTGTTGTATTACATTCGTCAGAATCATACATTGGCATTGGCAAGAATTCATCATATTGTTGTAAGTCTAGTTCTCCGTTAACTGGGAACCTCCATCCTACGCTAACACAGACATCATTTGGCTGAAACATAGAATATTATCAGATGTTAGGTAACTTATTAATTTATTTTATTAACGATATAATTCCCACTTGCTAAAGGTTTTAAAAAATAATTATTTAAACATTTTCTTTGTACTTGAAAACTCTCTTGCAATAGTCGATAAGAAGAGTAAAATATCTTTCTAGAAATTTGTATATGAAGTTCTAAAGAAAAGGCTTATTAACGAAATGGCTGAGTAACTTTTACACGTAACATCGTTTTAAAAGGTATTTCAAACACAAGATGTTTTTCAATTAATAAGAATTTCGAATATATACGTACTTTGATAGAATGAGTTGGTAGGCAAACGGCAGAAACATTTTTCGAGAAAATCAAAGGTTCTTTGAGTTCAATCAAAGCAATATCATTGTCGTAGAAGAATTGATTATATTTCACTTGTGGATGTGGAATGATAGTCTTTATAGAATTACTTCTTAGCAATTTTTCGTCTGTGAACAATTGCCATCCGTCGCTTTGTTTGTATCTAAAAATGGGAAAAGAAAAAAGCAATTAAATTCCAGTTAAGAATTTTAAATAATGAACAAATAAATATATATCATAGAGTGATAATAATTTCTTACTTGTAGACACAAGAATAACTGGTCAAAGCATGCATAGGTCCTAATATGCTAGCTGTGCAAGCTATACCATGTTCCTCTTCTTTCAAAATCACTACAGAAGGCCATTGCATAACACCAATTGGAGTTTCACCTTCTGGTTTTGCAGTAGTTCTATCAACGTGATGCTTATCGCAAGAAAATTCTTCGCACGTAACTTCAACGACTTTTTCCGAGACACAGAACTCTACTCGCTGAAGATTACTGACTAGCGGGTTGCGATGATTTGGATTAGTTTTCAGTCTTACGATTTGATCGCTTTTATTCCATGCTTTAAAATCAGTTGTTTGGGATGAAGCATAGCCGAGAGAACGACAGTATGAGTCACTGAACTCTTTGCTCCAACCATCCGAACATACTAGTCGATATTTACCATCAAATTGCCTGTTAAATTATACTTTAAACCAAGAATATTCTTTTATTTTTAAAGAGATTTGAGTATTTAAGAAACTGACCTTATTTTTAAAAGAGAATCTCGATGATTCAGTTGATTCGTCGAGTTATTTCCTTCGTTTTCTTTCAGATCAGTTTCAGTATGATTTCTTTGATCGAGCAAATTGCTAGATATGCATTCCCATTCATCGGAACGATCAGGACAATGTTCGATACCGTCGCAAACTTCTTCTTTAGAGACACATCCACCAGTATGACATTTGAATTGATTCAAAGCACAATCACAGAGTTTTTCGTCTTCTCCATTAGCGCAATCGGGTGATCCATTACATCGCCATGTTTGTGGAATACATCGTTTATCAGTAGGACATAAGTATTCATCATTGCCGCAACTTTCAGCACAGTTAAACTCGTCTTGATGATTTTCGCAATCCGGTCTACCATCGCATAGCCATAACAGTGGTATACATCGTCCTGAAAATAAGGACGAAACTTGTTTAATCGTGACGATCTTTAATTAACCTATTAACCCAGTAAGAAAGGACACCATATCATTTGTCTCGTTATGAAACGATCATGCGATATGTTATTCTGACGGTGAAATTTAATCGGTAATTATCATAATTAATTAGGACTTACCATTGGTGCAGCGATATTCGTCGAATATGCACTTCCAATTTTGACAATTCAATTCATCACTACCGTCGTCGCAATCTACGATTCCGTTACATACAAGGTGTCTCTTAAGACACTGACGATTGGCACACTGAAAGTTTCCAGGACATCCTTCTTCTTGACAATTGAGTTCATCAGAGCCATCAGAACAATCCTTATGGGAGTCACATTTTTCGGATAAGCTGACGCAATAAGCACCAGCTCTGGAAGTCCCATTGGTACATTGAAACTGGCCTGTACTACATTTGGAGTAGCTCATAGTACTTAATGTTAAAAGGTTCAATGCGTTGACTGTTAAATTGTTATCTTCTTGGCTGTTGCTTGGAATAATCGTTACGTTTGATTTATTCAAAGTATTGTCACGTTCGATAGGAATGTTACTTTGAGTCGTAGCTTGTTCAACTTCCATGATTGGAATCAATGGAGTCGTTTGATGCAAAGTGTAATTTCGAATGAGTATGAAAGGCTCTGTTACTGGGTCAGATTCTATGATCTCTTCAGACACGGGTATGTAGTTAGGATATTTGTTATTTGTTTCCACTTCTGTATTATTTCTTATTAAACTAGTTATAGTAGTATTTTCTTCGTGAGGTTTTTCTTCTTCAGATTGATTTGATGTAGACAAGATTTCAACAATTTTCAATTTTGGTATTGGCACAATATTACCTTCTGTATCAGATAAAATGAATTTTGGAATAGCCGACTCTGTACTTTTGTTAGATGTGTTTTCTGTAGTAATATTTTCATTTGATTCGACGAGAATCCTTGGAATTTCAGTAGGAATGAAAATCGTTGTATCATTGATCTCAGTTGTAACATTTTCTGTTCTTTGATCTTCTAGATTGAGTTCCTTCTCCTTTTTGTACTTATATTTATCTGAATTCTTTTTATCGATAGATTTTTTCTTAATCTCTTGACTTTTTTCTAACGGTATTACTTTCAGTTCTTCTTCAGATAATTCTCTCGAATCTTCGTTGAAAATAACATCTCTCATAGTCGTTGTTGAGAAAAATGATCTGAAGTCAAAATTGTATGGTCTAGTATCGTCTAGAATTTCTTCAGTAACTGGCCTTATATCATCATTTGTAGTAATTGGATCTGGTTCTTTAGCAGTATTGATTTCAGTTGCCATTGCTGTATAATCTTCGTTGGCAATCGTGAAAGTTGTTTCTGGTTTTGGATAGTTTGTTGTATTTTCAAGAATCGTCATCAAATTGAACATTTTATCCGGTTGCTCATTTAGAATAGTATGTTGAATATTATCATGTTCAGTGGACATTGTTTCAGTCAAATTTGTGTTGTCTGTTTTTGTTATAACATTTGTTGTATTATCAACTTCTACAGCCATCGTAGAACTAGCTGTAGTTGCCGAAATGTTATTAATATATTCTATTGAAATCATGGTAGTTGCTGTCCTGTTAACGTCATGCCTTGTATCATTAATTTCTTTGATAATTTCTGGCCTCATCGAAGAAGTCGTTACCGAGAATTCGTGTTCAGTTGTTTGCAATTCCTCTGGTAAAATTGGTACTTGTGCAGTTGTTTTAGTCTCCAGTGAATACATTGGTGCAATAGTAGATGGAATCATAGTGACAGATTCTTTATCTGTATCATCATGAACAATATTAGACCTGTCAGTATGATTATCTGACAACGAATTGTCATCAGCAATCGTAGTTGCTTCTATTTTATCTGTTAATTCTGTCGTAGAAAGTTCCTGTTGTATTTCCATAGGTAAAACTGGTACCTGCGTTGTAATCTTAGCATCTTCAATATGTTTCTCCATAGAAATAGAAGACATACTCGATGGAATTTCTGTTTCCGTTGATAACATTTTTTCCGTCGTACTTTGAGATTCTTCAGAGTCTAAAGTTGATTTAGTCTTTTCTTGTTGTTCATCGATATTATTAATAATTAATTTTTTCGATTCATTATCAGTGATTTTAATGTTTTTATTACGATTGAAAGTCTTGGATAACGTTTCATCGTTGATATCATTGTACTGATCCTCTTCCGCATTTTCTTCTGGTTTTTCCGAACTACTAGCAACATTATTATTAACAATTAAATCGTCCATAGATCTACCATTTTCTTCAATGAACATCATTGTAGTGATTTGTGCAGCTTCCGTAGTACTCTCTACTTTATCCAATTCATATTCCATATTTTTCGTGTCCTTATACTCATCCAATGGTACTACCCTAAGTATCTCATCATCCTGTTCATCTTTCATACTTTTCCCGTCAAAAGTGTCATTCGTCGTTGTATCATCAGACAAATCATTGGTCACAAACGTTCGAGTATCGTTCAAAGTCTCTTTCAATCTTTCACTTTCGGATTCTCCCAAAAGTTCATTTTGTTGCAATGGATCCTCCATTTCAGTCCCAGTTTCGTTAATTGTTTTAGGTATCATTGAAATATCTTTACCATCTGCTTTCATATTGATATTGTCATTATCGAGATCAGTCAAGACTTCTTCACTTTCGTTCTTATTTGTAGGATACATTAGTTCAGTTTTGCCATCCTTTCTTTCAGGTTTATTTATAATAACGTCTTCAACATGAGTCTCGAAAGGATTAGGGACATCTTGCTCGTCTTTATCTAATCTTGGTGCTTTTTTTGACGTTTCCTTTTCCTTTTGAACGTCTGGTAAGAAAGGTGACATATCTTCAAGATGTCTTTCTTCATTGGGATCCATTTTTTCCACATAATGATTCGCTGCGTTTTCAGGGAATATTGCAGGATGTAAAGGATGACTGGTCGAATGCTCGATCGTTTCGCCAATAGAAACTGCATTCTCTTCAGGATGTTCGGTAGATCGGTCTAAGATTGTATCGATCGTTAAGTTTTTTCTTTCAACAGGCTGATTGCTAGCTTGTAAAATATTTTCTTGATTGATCGTTGATTCTTCTGGTCTTGTAGTAAAATGTGTTATCTGTTCAGGAATCAATTGAGGAATGATTGCATGAGTATCTTGTTCATATTTCTTATTTTCTTCTTTAGGTAATGGTATTACTTGTTCTTCATCAGTTTGATTATTCACTGATTCCAATAATGGTTCTACGTTTTGACTAAATTCTTTAGGTAAACTTGAAAATATTGATTTTGGTGCATGTTCAATAACGTTTGACTCATTTATATCTTGCACATTGGATTCTGGTATATCCAATGATTCGATAGAATGATTTTTATTCAAAAATGACTCTTCTAATTGATCTGTTAAATTAGATGCTACTTCGATTCCAGAAGAATCAATATTTCTCAATAGAACTTGATTTGATTCTGTGTTCGTTTCTAATATTGATTTTGGTGCCTCCGAGGTGATTTCACTCGAAGTAGTGTCCATTACAGGTATGGTTGTTTCACTCTTTGATTTTGATGTTTTTGTTGGTTCTACTTCAATATTCATAGTCGTTTCTTCAAGTTGAATAGTTGGAAGTGTGGTATCAGACATTTCTGTATCACTGTTTATTGATAATTCAGTTACTTCATTTTCATTCTCGGTAATTGCATCTTCGAATTGTTTCATCGAAAGTGTAGTTTCTTTATCTTCTTTTTTATTATTTACAGTGGTCGTTGTTATCGGCGATGTTGTGATACTTTCAGTCATCACTGATGGTTCTTTTACTTCTAAATTGTGTTCTGACAACATAGTTGTTATTCGTTCATTGTGAATTTCTGTCGTAGGTTCTTCATTGTTCGTTTGCAAAGGTATTACTGGTAATGGTTCTTCATTATTTGTTTCATGGGTATCTTCATTTATATTAGTATTGAAATTTCGAGATTCAGAATCGTACGGAGATTCTGATTTAATAGTGGATTCGATAAGAATTTTCGGCGTTGTTTCACTTTTTGAAGTTGTTTCAACAATGATTTCTGGTATTGTTGTATGCTCCATTTCAGCTGAAAACTGTGGATATTCTTGTGAAACTTCTGTTGCCATTGCAACGTCAGTTTCTATGGAAGATTTTTTTATATCCTTCGATTCGGTAGATGCCATGGTCGACGATGGATCCATTATTAATGTTGTAGATTCTACATCATCAATTGAGTGTAATACATTTTCTGAGGATGTGTCTATATGTACGGAAGTTTTTGGTTCTTCTGAAGAAAGATTTACATTTTCTTGTGTTGTCATTACTATTGGTTTTTTATCCAGAGAATATTCTGAAGATGATTCGAATTTTGTTAAAGTATTTACTTCTGTGAAATGTTCAGGTATCACAGGAATTTCATGTATTTGTTCTGTAGAATGCTCAGATTGTAATGATGGTTCCGTTAAAGGTTCAGCTTGTACTGACGGTTCTACAGTAGACGTTGATTCAGTTTTGATAAAGGGTCCTATTTCAAAAGGAGATCCTGGTTCTGCAGATGGTTCTGGCTCAGTAGACGACTCTGGCTTAGCAGACGGCTCTGGCTCAACAGACGGCTCTGGCTCAACAGACGGCTGTGGCTCAGCAGACGGCTCTGGCTCAGCAGACGGCTCTGGCTCAACAGAGGACTCTGTCTCAGCAGATGGTTCAGGCTCAGCAAATGGTCCCGGTTCAATAACCGATTTTGGTTCAGCACTCGGCTTCGGTTCTGTAGATGGTTCTGGTTCAGCAACTGGCTCTGGCTCAGCAGACGGTTCTGGCTCAGCAGATGGTTGTGGTTCAATAATCGATTTTGGTTCAGCACTCGGCTCCGGTTCTGCGGATGGTTCTGATTCAGCAACTGACTCTGGTTCTGGTTCTGTGGATGGTTTTGGCTCAACAGATAGTTCTGGTTCAGCAGATGACTCTGGTTCAACAGATGGTTCTGGTTCAGCAGATGGCTCTGGTTCAGCAGATGGCTCTGGTTCAGCAACAGGTTCTGGTTCAGCAACAGGTTCTGGTTTAGCAGCAGGCTCTGGTTCAGCAGATGACTCTGGCTCAGCAGCCGGCTCTGGTTCTGCGGATGGCTCTGGCTCAGCAGCCGGCTCTGGTTCAGCAGCTGGTTCCGGTTCAGCAGGCGGTTCCGGTTCAGCAGGCGGCTCCGGTTCAGCAGATGGCTCCGGTTCAGCAGATGGCTCCGGTTCTGCAGCCGACTCCGATTCTGCGGATGGTTCTAATTCAGCAGACGGTTCTGATTTAATAACTGGTTTTGGTTCAGTAGCCACTTTAGGTCCTGTGGATGGTTCTGGTTCAGCAGATAGTTCTGGTATTGCAGATGGCTCTGGTTCAGCTGATGGTTCTGGCTTAACAGAATGTTCTTCTATAGGATGCTTAGAATATTCATGCATCCAATTAGTAATATCAGAATTATGAGCTCTCGAAATTTCTGGATCAACAGTTGGTTTTGCTACAGGACTTGGTTCGTTTTTCATACTTTTATCTGATATTTCTTCATTTTGATTTATGGATTTTTCGGTAGGTTCTACATTCGCTTTAACAGACGACTGATTATTCATAGAATTCGTAATTAAATCTGAGTGATCCCAACCATCGGGATGTCCAGGTTCAAAAAACATTCCTGGACCCCGACTTCTACCAACAAAATCTTTCGTTGATTCCGTGCTCGATGACACAACTGTATCGTCCATATCCACGTTACTCAAATCGTTCTCAACCAAACAATCTTTTCCATTCTTGTCTAATATTTTTCCAGTCATACAAGAACATATGAATCCTTGCGAATAATCGTACTTACATATTTCCGCACAACCGAAATTACGATCTTGACATTGATCCATAAGTTCTTTTACTTGCAATCTACCAAGATGATATTTTCCAACCTGATTGCCATGTTCTTGAATAGCTTTCTCGATACCTTCTTGAGTTTCTTTCGGTGTAGCCCACAAGGAATAATTTATTCTGAACCTAACTTCAGAATCCTTATTAATATCATAAACCCTGATGTCTGGTGAAGCTCTCATATTAGATTGAATTATATTTCGAAGATGCCTCTCTATCTCAGATGCAACTTCTCTGTACACTCTAGATTTGACATCACTCATCTCTTCGTTCCATACTAAGTCATCTAACTTCAATATACCATCTAAAGCATCCGGTACAGTTGGATACAAAGTTTCGTCTGTCGTAGGCCATGGTGGAAAACTGGAAGTTTCAGGAGGTGGACTTGTAGGTGGATTTTTCATGTATTCTTGACTTTCAGCCACTTGAGCACCATCGAATTGACGAGAACTAGTTTGGTCTATGGTATCCAAAGGTTCGGTAGCTTCCTGAGTGAGAATCACACCAGCTGAAATGATCCAAATTTGACATTGAAATTATTCCCGTAGAAAATATGAAATAATAAATATGCGTATCATATATGTTTTCTTACTTGCTGCTAAAATTGCGATTATGATTGCAATTGCAAGAACCAAAAGACCACATCCCCAACATGCCATTCTTCTCCAATACGAACTCCTAGATCTTTTATCCTTGGTAACATACAATTTTTCTCCCCTGCAACACATTACCATTTAACATGAACGAAAGATCATTATTAGAATTCTTTTTATTTATCTCCCATATCCAGGGCCCCAATGATAAGCGTTTTTTGTACAGCGTTAAGCCTTAAACACACCCACGTGACAAACTCGTCACATATTCTATGTCAACGCGTAATCGCATTTCTTTCTGGTAATTATATGTCGGTCAACTCTTAGGGAACCTATTTATCTCCTTTATATATAAACCGCATCAATTTTCAACCACTACCGCAGCAACCGATCAGCTGCGGTCACCACGCAACGCGTAGGTGCGTTTAAAGTGCTAATATACACGCAAACGTGATTGCTAAACCTCCATCAGCAACCGGCCGTGAGATTAGAAGCTTCCCCTCGATAGTCAGATATTGCTATACAATAATCATATTTTACAAAGTATCAAGCATATATTATACATTGATACAATTATTATTTTTTGTTTTCAGGTCGCTGGTATGAAAAAAAGGACTAGTAAAAAAAAGAAATGGGATTGGAAATGGATAATCATCTTATTGTATACACGTTTTTATGCGTGGGTATATATACTACTTTCGCAGTCGAGGAGTAATCTGCAAGTCAAGGACAAATAATTTAAAGGGATGATTATGAGAAGAAAGTCGAGATCGACGAACCAGTCGACTGAATTAACGAATAGCGGACGTGGGTGTTATCGACAGTATGCCTACGGATTTCGAACTATCGAAGTGGTCGAACAAGATTATGCGACCATCGATGAACTCGAAACAGAGTCAGTGGAATCTAATATAGAAGCGGGTTAGTCCGCTACCAAATGCCCTTCCCTTCCCTGGCGCATTAAGGCAAGGAAAAAAGGTTTCTTTCATTGTCCCTTAGTCGTCAGTATTGTTTCTTTTTTTTGGTTTTATTTGGTTTTTGATTTTTAATTTTTGTTGTTTTGTTTATTCCCCATTTTCCTCATCCTCGAAAGCATCCTTCAAGTACCTGAGGGCTGTAAGCCAGTGGGAATAGTCAACCAGTCCGGCGGCCGGATCTCTCAGGCTGAGTCCTTCACGGCCGACACCCGGGCCCAAATCAAAACGTACTCCAGCCACGGTTGTTTCAACCTCGGCCTCGGGACCCCTGCTATGTATCGACGTAACAGAAAACATCGTCTGACACTTTCACCCATCTCTTTCTCTCTTCTCACACACATACTCTCTTTTTTTCTTTCTTTTTCTCTTATTTTCTTTTTACTTGTTTGGTGAACAGTAAATGGAACCGCGGATCTGACAAAAGGGAAGTGTCTCTTCTCACGTACATATGTTTTTTTTTTTTTTTAAATAATTTTCATCAACGCGTACACAATTTTAAAATATTTTTTATCTAATCAATTATATCACGTACATATTTTATTATTAAAAAAAAATTTGTTCTTTTCTTTTTAAATAATTTTTAATCGTCTAATTCACGCGTATAGAGTCTAAAGGAGCTTTTTTTTTTTTTACCTAATCGATTATTTGACTCTACATGCTTCGCCGATCTAATGTCATCGAAACGTACGTATATACGTTAGTTAGTTAGTATGCCGACGTTAAAGTCACCTCGTGCCACGACCGCATCTTCAAAGAGGCTTTACGCGTTTTGCACTTTAATCCGAGCTCATAAGAAGAAGACGGAAAAGTCAACGAGGATTCGTACGGATCGGTAAACCTAGTCTCGTCTTTTACACCGGATAGCTGCTATTAGCAAAAGGATAAGAGAAGAGTGATGCTACTTAAACGAATGAAGAATTTATTCATAGTGTGTCTTTCTTAACGTTTTTCTTAGTAAATTTAAAAATTATCATTTAAAATTCGTCGCTCGCTCTTGCTTTACGAAGGATGATCGTTTTGTATTCTTTTATTGCTGTTTTTTCTTTTTCGTAAGCGATGACACAATTTTTAACGCAAAGTTTTTCTTTCTCTTTCAGAATATTCTGTTCACCATCGTAATCATCATCATCATCATCATCATCATCATCATCATTATCATCATCATGCTTCTTCCATTTATTCCTTCACGAACGAAATTCCTGCACCCCGAGCATAAATACAGCGGCAAAAAAAGGGTTGGAGAAAGTGGAAGGAAATTGTTAACTACCTTCATTCTCAGAAAATCGCTAGGCAGGCTCGCCGGGCTGGTAAACAGTGCACGCGAAAGAGTTAATTAGAATTAGAAGAAAGATATGAGAATTAACCATAAATAATAATTGTAATATAAATAACAATGAACAGAAAAAGTGAACAACAGCAACAACAACAACAACAACAACAACAATAAGGAGAAAACAAAATAGAGACAGACATATTTTTTCGTTTTTTTCGTTTTTTTGACTGTCTTCATTATATTACCTAATATACTTTCGATGCTCGTTAACAGGAACAAAGTATTCCTCGTAAGGATCGGCTGGTACCTCGCATGCTTCCTGACCCTTCGTTTGAATATTGTTTCCAGTATAGGGCCTCATGGAGACCAATTCTAAATTCACTGCTTCGATCTGTTCCTTTTTTCCGTTATCTGTGAATGATAAATAGTTGTTGCAATTATTTTAAGAGAAAATTAAGCCTTTGTTCGAATTGAAGAATTAGCTAGAGCTCAGTTCAACAAACTTTCGTTTTCTTTCTTTACTTCTTTCCCCTCTGTCTCTCTCTCTCTCTCTCTCTCTCTCTCTCTCTCTTTCTCTCTTTCTCTTTCTCTTTCTCTCTCTTTTTCTTTACTTCTTCTTCACGGTCTACGACCCTAACTTACCGTTGACCTGGACGCTTGTGGCGCTGCTGTTGAGGAAGCTAGCATCGTTGTTGTTGCCATTTCCATGAACGCCGTTGAGCTTCGGCTCGCTCGTGGAATTCTTATCTGGAGTTTGTCCACCAGTCGTTGGTGGTAACTCGATCTTCGTCTCAGACTTGTAACGTGGCTCTGGGCTACTCCTTACTGGCTCAACATAATGCTGAGAGACGAAAGATCGACGATGACCATTTTCTGTTGGCGAACCAATCGTATCAGCCGGTGACCTGTAATCCTGTTCTAGGTTCACTTGTTTGTTGCTTTGTTGTTGTTCATGGGCATTTTTCTCAACGTGTTGTTCTGTGCTATTCGCGCACTCATCTTCGATTGCAAATGCTAGATTGTCCATTCCACTCTCACCACCAGTACCACCATCCCCACCGATCTCCGACATTTTCCGATTGCCTTTTCGCTTTCTAAAGACGAGCCAGCCCTTTCCTCTGTCATGCGTCTGGATTCTGAAAGAACAAAAATCATTATTTGATACCAGTCGTTTTATTTTAAGTAATATAAATATTTTTTTTAAATTGAAAATGTCAACATGAATTTAATTTAATAAGAATAAGGAGAAATTAATATATTATCAACTATTCTGTATTTTTTATGGAACTTTTATATATGTCTAGGTATATGTTAATGGATAAACTATATTGTTATTAAGTAGAATTAATATTTTATATTTTATTGGAGATTTTGACATTAAGGATAAAGGACAATGATATATTATAAACTATTTTTACATATAGGTATATATGCATCTTTTCTGAAACTTTTATGTATGTTCAAGTATATGTTAATACTACTGATTTTCCATTCGACTGTACCAACCGACGACGGTTGAACTCACTGGCGTGAATCCAAGCCAGAGTGACGTTGTTTCACGAAGCGAGTTCGAATCTTTGCAAGAAAGAAAGAGAGAGATACAAACGAGAGATAGATGTGAGAACCGTGAGAGGATGAATCTTCCTTTAGCATTCGTATTCGATATCCTTACATATTTATATTATTACTACCTTTTGTTTGTAAATAAAACACTATGTTTTTAAACAAATAAAATTATTGAATTTTTTTTTATTTAACTTATCAATATTTAATATAAAATATACTTTCATATGTTTCCATTTATTTTTTTCATATAAAAATAAATTATTTTAAAAAGACAGAGTATTAATATTTTGTTTCCTTATAATGTTCATAATAAAAATTTCTTTTATTTGTAAGTAAAATATTATTTAAAAATTACCACAATTTTTGTATTTTTAATCTTTCTATGTTTACCATATAGAGTATACTTTATGTTTTCATTTTTCTTCTTTTCAGATAACAAGAATAACTTCTACTCAGAAATAAACTATCTTATTGTTGGAGAGAGAAAATGAAAAATCTAACAGGAATTGAGTTTTCTAAGGCTCAGACGACGATTTCCAGGACACCCTATAGGAACGATCAGACGAGCGAGCGTGTTTGCGAGTGTACACATAAACGTTGAGAAGGCATATACTGCACCGAAAGTGGTTGACCCTGAGAGAGCCAGGCACAAAGGACTGATTCACCCCGCGGAGTCCTACGAGAAAAGAACCAACCGTTTACCCAGCTTCATTTTGTAGGAATCTTTCCCCATTCCTGTAAGTGACATAATCCTCCAGAACTCATCGAACCGTTCACTATAATCCTTCTTTTTTTATTTTTACTTTTATCTACCTATTTCATTTGACTCGCTTAATTCTTATCAATCTACACGAATTTTGACATTAATCGTAATGTACATTTTAAACAAATTCTTCTTATCTTTATTTTACAGCAAACTTATCTGATCTCTTGGAATAAAGTAATTTATTAATGATCCTAGGAGCTGATAAGCTGATAACGAATGAAGAAAAAAGATAAGATTGAAAGGAATATTAATTACATTGATAATTCTCTTAATTGCAAACATGTAAATTCCTATAACAATATTAATAAATAATTAGTTATATCATTTTAAGATTAATAGTATTAGTAGTTTAGTATTGTAGAGTATTATGTTTTATGTATGATTTGTTTAACAGTTTAATAGACAGAAAAACTTGGTTGATAATAACCATACAATTTTTTGCTCTACTTGATGACAAGAAGAACTTATTACCATGATATAAAGAGAAAAGAAAACTATTTTATAAGACACGCCTTGCTAGAGAGATTCCAAGGATTCCATTAACGATGAAAAGTCGACATCCTCGGGAATGATGTAACGATCGTAATGAAAGAACGTGCGAAAGCATTATGACACTAACATCTACACAGATGTAAAACGCATACACGAATACACTGATTCAAATATGTCCTCTTGTTGATTGCACGAGAAAACCATTGTACTGTGTGCAATATTACTTAGCCACCGTGGGTTTTGATCCCTCCTACCGATAATCTTTTACAGAATGAAAATCAAGAAATAACAAGCCAGGGAAACGATCTTTGTAGATTTATGTTTGGTACCAGAATTTTTTTCTTTGTTTTAATGCTTTTGTATTTTTTACTTTGACTTAAATTGCTGCTTTGATTTTGTACGTTAAATCTAATTATATTGTCAGATAGTATAAACAATGTTCCTGATCTTTAAGAACTATCTATGGGAGTGTAATAATATACAATGTGTGTATTATTTATTAGTGTTCTTATTCTTATAAATTTTAACTATAGTAACAAATTAGATAAGTTACATTGAAGAAAATTGTACATACAGTTTATCTATCATAAGAGAAAATAATTTAAAGGTATTAATTGTTCAGATTTTATAGTTTTTTAATATTAAACATAGTACAAATATGAACTTCCATAATAGACTTTAGAAAAATTTTACAAATTGTTCAAAATGTAAGAAAATAAAAAAGATTATTCTTTCTTGTCAATATATGGCATAGAGAAAAAAAAACATATTTTTTATAAAATTATATTTGTTAATATACAAATATTTTTTATAGGTCACTAGTATTCATATGTGTAAGCCAAAATATTTTCCATTATTATTTTTTTAATGTGTCATTATATACTTTAAAAATAAAAATTTCTCATTTATTTATAATATATATATGATAGTTATAGTCAAATAAAACTAGTGATAAGCTACTGTTATTAAATCCTAATATTTAATTAAAATAACCAATTATATATATTATTAAACATTAACCGATAAGAATTAGATATAATGGAACTATTTCAAAATTTTTATATAAACGTTAATTAAATTAATTTATATGTTATTTAATTTTGTACTTATATTTTTAACGAAAACACAGAGAGAAAGAGTTTCGTTTTATGACAAAGTTGTGTACGTATGTCGGGAACTTATTTCAATAATTTAATATAAAAATAGCTACTTATTCTTGTGTAAAAACCGATAACCGAAAATTTTTATTAATTATAGTTTTCAAATTTTATATGATATACATATTTTTTCATAATGAAAATAAAGAAATATATAAAGAAATAAAAAAATTAATATATTTATTTCCATTTATATAGTATGAGAAGGTGGCGCTGTGCGCGTATGTGGCGGGAATCGTTCAACTGTTGGCGGCAGAACAACGCCATTTTAATTCCTTGGACAGTTACTCCGACACAGAATCCGTATCGTCCTCGTTAATTACAGGTAATTAATATATTTCTTTTAATTTCACCCTTTTCCAATATATTAATTGATTCGTAACATTCTTTTTTCGCGTAAAAAATGTTAGCAAGTCGAGACATCGTTGCGTTTAAAAGTTATCCGCGAGTAGAAAATCGATCTTTTGGCATTCTATGGTTAGTTCCTACTCAATAATTATTTTTTAATTTTTCACCTTTATTGTTAAGATCTCGATAAATTTTTCATTTTATAATGATCCTTATTAGTAATTTTTTATTGGTTATGTTAATTAGCCGATACACTCATGTACGTATATAAGCATATAAACATGTTATGCATTTCATATGCACATATATTGATACATAATAAACTCATTAAATGCATATAGAATACATATATGCATGTGTATACATGCATAAATATACATATCGTACATAACATACACATACACATACATACATGGATACACTTATAGCATTCCTATCACATACAATACATTTTGAACTTTATTGATATGATCTTATATTTGTCACACTACAGATCCTGCAAATAAATATCTTTTCTATATTCTCATATATATATATACACACACACATACACAAAATTACTTGTTTTCTTTACTAATTTCTTTTGTACTTACAGCTTTTTGAGAAGCATTTTACGAATGGAAAGACACATCATATCAGAAAATACGATGAAAATAATTCTTCGTAAGCTGTCGACATTCATCGGATACGTAAGTTTGTTTTGTGTAAGTTAGATTTAATAGAGAAAGAGAGAGAGAGTGGGAGAAATAGATAGATAGACAACATTCGACATGTAAACAACAAAGTGGGGGAAATTTTCGCCGAGCTCAGCTGATAATAACAAATGAACGTGTTTCGTGTTTCTTCAAGCGTACTAACAAGGATATAACAACCAAATTTTCAGTCAGATGTGTTTGGACATGTGAACATCTAGAAGAGCAGCGAGCAGTTTTTTGTAACGTATATATACTTAGTATTTTATTATTAAATATTTACATTTTAATAATATATTATATGTATACATGTTATATATATCATTACACAGGAAAGTTTGGTTAGTATGGTTTTATATTTTGACTCCAAATGATAAAATCCAGGAAATTGATATTGCTTGTTGTATTATATACCTTATAATTTAAAAAAAACAATGTTGAATTAATGCTGCATACTTTGGTGCATCTTAGATATTCAATTCTAATATCAATTCGAATTTCAAACATTAATTATGATAATTATTTTTGTATAATATATGGATAATATTTTTATTTATAATGTGTTACCTTCAGAAATGATTAACAAAGAATGTTTTATAAATGTTATTATTTTGTACGTTTCCTATAACATTTTGTATGTTTCAGATTTTCTCAATTTTAATAATTTATGTATAATCATATGCAAAAGTTGATCTTAGAGTCAATGTTTAATCGTATTATTTTTATTTATTTTATTAGTTGATTAAATTAAATTAAATTTAATATAAATTCGTGAAAAGTAGAAGATGTGTTTTTTTTTAATTATTATTCTTCATTATCTTTGGGCAGGATGCTCATCGTGCAAACATCAGTGAAGACTTTAAGTAAGTAAACATTTGTATTAAACATTTCCTTAATAATTTAAAAGACTTTTTATTATAATCATTTATTAATAATTGTTTCTTTTTTGTTCTTTTTCAGAATCTCATTGCAGTCGTGCGTGAAGCAATGAATATATCGAGTGTTGCATCGCTAAAATATAAACTAAAAATAATCATCGTGAATTAGTAGCAGTGTTTGTTAATTAAAATTTGGACGCGAGAGGGAGAGAGAGAGAGAGAGAGAGAATAAGAAAA